GATGAAGCCCTCTGTAACCAAATAAATTTGAAATGTTTTGTAGAATTTTATCTGAATCATAAATTCATTTTTCACTAAATATTAATGAGTTTTTAAGCAAGAAAATTTTGAGAGGTGGTTGCATGACTAGCAAAAGTATACGAGAGGCAAGGATTTCTTTGGGCGGTATTTTTTATTGGACCAACTGCATAGTTGGGATAGAGCTAGACAAGCTTTCAAATGGAAGACATTCTTTTTCTGAAGAAGTATTTCTTCTGAAGAAGAATGTAAGGCATTCTTTTGCAGAATTCAGACCTTTGAAAGCTTGTTTAACTCTATCCCAACTGTGCAGTTGGTCCAATAAAAGCGGTCACTCAAAGAAAGCCTTGTTCCTTGCACAATTCCTGAACCATCACAGCTACACCATCACTTCTAACTAGCTAAAGTATAGTAATCTGTGGTTTTAAACTGCCTTTAACATGACACACATTGCTTTTGATCAACAGCATATTAGTAACAGTAGTCAATCTTGCAGCAAAGAGATGCAGCAGCTGCATGCAGTTCTTTTTACTTCTTTTAAAAATAATTTTCTAGACTCAGCATATCTATAGAGATTCATGACCTAGCAGTGATCTAAAACCTTTGTTCTGGTTGTATCTCAGCTCTTTAAGCTTGTTCCCACACCCGCACCCCCTTCAAAAAATCCTTAATGTTAATGATTGGATGGCTTGTGCCTCAATTTGCTTTTCCTCCCCTCTCTAGGAGGATTTGTTAGGTTCATATTGAGATGATAACTTATTGTTTATTATATTAATAAGCATTCAGCTGTCATTACCTGAAGGTACATACTTGGACCTTTGTAAATCTCAGGGGAGGCAGTGTAGCATAATAGAACCAGTAGTAGACTGAGAAATATTATTTCCTTCCGCCACTAGATGACCTTGGGAAATCATGGTCCCCTCACCAGTGCCCTTGTATTTAAAGGGGGGTGATGACACTTGTAAGTGCTTAGACCTTACATGTGAAAAGTGCTGTACGAAAGCTAGATGGTAATACAGTATTACAGAACTAGGGACTTCTCATCGTCATCATAAATTTGAGTAAATACAGTAAAATAAAACACGCTGGCTAAGTCCTGATCACATATTCCATTAGTACTTTCTGTGCTCCAGTGACCTGTTCCTTAGTTTTAATCTGATACAACCCCTAGTTTCCCACTGAAAAGATAAGAGTTTCTTAAGCATCAGTTCTCAGAACAGCACAGTACAAAACCTTTATTGAAAACAATATAACAGCATATTGGTCAGTGGTCATATGTTCAACAAGTTTATCAAAAATCTTACCGCTTCTGAGCAGTTCAGCAAACATACGGTCCAGTATTTTCTGACAATAAAACTGAACTGGCAGTTGTCAAGCTAAATTCTTAAACTATAAAAAAAAGTCTTTACCACGTAGAACATGTGCTGAGAAACCAAGTTCCTGCCTGGATCAGACCTTGTTCATTGCTTATTACTGGCTTTCCTTTAAAGCTTTGCCATATCTACATTTTTTTTTTTCCTGGTTACCAAATCCATGTGAGACCTTATTTCAAATGGACATTGCTGAGTTGGGGTGACCATTGGAGTTTTTCCCTCCTGAAGGCAGAGTCTATATGCATTACAGGTGAGGGAAAGGCTCCCTTGACTCTGGACGAAGTCAGTTTGTGCTTGTATTCAGCATGGTACTTGAGCACATGCATAGCTCTATTCAAATCATGTGCCTGAGGTTACCCTCATGCTTAGTGCTTTTCTGAAGTAGACCTAATCCCTGAAAGGGCAGCCTGCTGAGCAGCTTACAGGTTGGTGCTAGGCAGCACTTCTGCCAGCTGAGAAGTACAAAAGAGGCAAGTGTACAGGGCAGAAGTCAGTTACCAAAGCAGAAATGTCATATATAAGTGACCGTGGCCTAGAAAAACAACTGTGACCCTGCAGCGTTCTCTCATGCACATGAGCTTGCCAACTCATGGTTTCTACTGGTTTCAAAAGTTAGCCACTCAAAGGCCTGCCACAACAGCTGGCTCTTTAAACATGGGGCTTTCCCAGGCCAGCTACCTAGCCTTTTTAACCCACTAAGCCAGCCAAGCTCTCATTAGCATGTCTGCTTTTATTTTATGCTGCTTTCAGTAACAAAACCTACTGCTTGAAAAATCGTGCCAGTCACCATGTTTTGGCCAACTTGGCTTAGACAGATGTATACTAGCAGGAACCACCCAGTCAGAAATGAAGTCAGAGATCAATATCCTTTAAGCTTTACATGTTTTCAGTCGATTTTTGTAAAGGTCTATTTAAAATAGCTCTGCATTTCCTTCACAAATAATTATTGTTTGCAGATGGCTACCTGGAAGTGGAATTGGATATCTCTTTTTGCCCAGTTAAATCTGTGACTTCAAATCCCAAACTACTTTAACTTAAATTTCCTAGCTTGTCTAATAAAACTGATCCTATCTTCCTAAATCCTCTAATACTCAGTCTAATCTTCCTTCCTTCTTGTCGTCCCCACTGGCCTGTACATACTGCAGTCTATATAGCTAATGTATGTATATAAACTGTAATCAGCTGACAGGTGTTTACTATTATTTTGTAACAGAGTATGAAAATGATACTGTAATTTTATAACCACATTCAATTTTATCTTCCTTGTTTGAAAGTGCTAAACAAAATGTTTTACTGTCAAATAATTATGTGGTCTTTGGGAAATTCCACCTGTTACTGTGTTCTAAGTCAAGGCTTTGGTTTTATTTTGATTTCCAGGTTACACACCAGCTTTGGCCTGTGCTCCCAATAAGGATGTAGCCGATTGTCTTGCTCTCATTTTGGCCACAATGATGCCTGTTTCCTCCAGCAGCACATTACCTTCCCTTACGTTCAATGCCATTAATCATTACACCAACACCTCAAAAACTGTTACCTTTGATTCCTTGCCAATCATGAGGAGTGACCATAGTTCTTACTGTAGTTTCAACAACATTGGCAGGGAAGATGGCTACCCATATACAGAAGAGGATGAACTTAATGACTCAGACTCTGAGACCTATTAAGAGACTTCTTTTGACGATCTGGAGAGTGAACAGTTGTTGGAAAGTCAGTCATGCTTTTGAACAAAACATTTAGTTTTGGATACAAAAGAGGACAGACCCATGAGAAGGAACTTTTATTGGGATGCATATGAAAGATCTGTATGAGACTGATTTTAAAGGATTGCAGAAGAAGCATTAACACTTGGAATCCATGGCAAAAAAAAAATAATTAAAGAATGTCAAAACCATTTTATTTAATTGTATTTTACCATTTTGTTTGTGGTGCCAGGAGTAATTTCTGCAGACTGTGCACCCCAGTCTATGTAAATGAACGATACTGTTGTACAACAAACAGGACACTAGATTTAAATCTTATCAATAAAAACTAAAACCATTTTGAAGGCAATAAACGAGTTTGGTACAGTAGGCATTGTTTGTGCAGCAAATTGCCAAAGGACCAAATAAGCTAAAGATTTTTAAATACCTTTTTGTGGAAACTGGAATAGGTTAATTGAGGAGTTGTCTTAACTAAACCTTAATTACTTCTGGAAGTGAAGATCAGATTTGGTTTTAAACGTTGAATTCTTTTTTTTCTTTATCACCCTAAAAGCTTTCAGATGCTCTTAAATGTACCATGAAAATAGCAGATGTATTTTTCAGTTTCTTTTCCTTTTAAATGAAATGGAAATGAACTTGTCATACTTTTATAATACTAAAATGAAAACCAGCTAACAAGGTGCAGTCAGGGTGATAATGTACAGTGTAATAAACAAGGGATGGGGGGAGGGAAGCAGTAATTGTTGCACAGTTTTAGATTTTTAACTTTTGGTTTTTGAATTGAGATTATTTAAAATTAAATGAAAGGGTAATTACTGGGAACGTGCAAAAAATACAAATTTAAATGAAATGTCTTGACAACCTGTTGTAGCTGCAGTTTCATAGGGAGTGATTTTTTTTTTGACAATTCACCCACTTTACATCATAAAATTTGTACGCGAAATCAAATCAGTGTTTCCGTTGTAATTTTTTTTTCAATCCTGGATTTATGAGTAAAAAATGAATTCAGATTTTTCAGTACTGAAAAGGTAGAGTGTCAGATCTGGGAAGAGCTATATATCTGTGTTGTGCTCCATTTAGAAAAACAACAAAAACAGGTCCCTGTAATATACTTCAAACTTGCCCTAAGATTTTTTTTATTATTATTATTTATAGCAGACTACTGTTTTTTTAAATATATATTGCCTGAAGAATGAAAGAATGTCCCACAAGCTGATGTTTGTTTGTTAAATATGAGTATCTACTTTATTTGACTCTGCTTTAACTATAACTGTTACTTTTCAAGTGAAATTGTTTATGTACATGCAAGGAATCCTTGCATGTCCCAGCAAAGTACAAATAAATTACTACGAATCGATTCCAATTTTCCTTTTATCCTTTTTGTATTGTGTAACTGGAAACCTTGTTGCTATTGTACATTGATCAGCTGGTTTTCTGAACATAAAGTGTGGAAACAGGACAATATTTTGATCTATTTGATAATTTTGTGGGTTTTTTGAAGAATTAATGAGCATGTACATAGAAATAGTGACTGCTTGAATACTGTAATTACCTGCACTCTTTCAGTACATCCAGATTCCTGTATATTTTACGGAGTATAATAAAACCCAGATGTGAGTTGTATTAATGAATAATTTATTTGTATCTGTGTACCATACTTAAACTAATGGCAAAGTTTCTTCTGTTGAATAACTTTTAGAATTTATAAAATCTATTTTACAAAGGCTTTGCTGTCCTTTTACTTCAACAGTAGAGGTAAATGGTTCAGATTTACAATAATTTTTAAAGGAAAAGTTAAGTACTGTTTGGTTACTGATATTTAAAATTGAGACTTACTTGTGAATGATGCTGTTTCCCTGGTTGGGGCAGAGGGTGTTTATGAATATTGATTTTTTTGAAAACAGCTTATGATTCTTCCACAAAATTAGATGCTTTTTATAGAACTCCCCTTTAAATCTTCTTTGGAATTCTTGGTACAGAAATAAATGGTAATGGAGATACAGGAGGTGTATTCAATTTTTGCTTGTTTTTTGCCACACTTCATTGTATCTGATTAAATATTTCCCCAGCAACCTGAAAACTTCTCTTCATATTTTACTAGGTACACACTAAAATCATATTGCCCTGGAGACTGTAAAAGGTTGCTTTAAGTTTTAGCCAATTTGCTCATTAATGTGCCCTTAAGAAGTTTTGCAAGTTAATGATAAGAAAACTGGATTTAGAAATATTTCATGTAAACTTGAGAGCCAGTTGATTTAAAAAAAAAAAAAAAAAATCATCAAGGTATATGTCAGTTATTTTATCAATAGCAGTACCCTAATCACCTGTCAAAGAAGTTTTATAAACAACCTAAAAAGATTTTGGAACTGCTAGAGCAAAGCATGATGTTTAGACTCTGGAATATTAGTTTCATCTTTCAGCATGAAGCAATCACTGTTTGCATCATATAGGGAGAAATGGATTGATTAATGTGAGGAAAATCAGGGGAAAATAACAGTAGCTGAATCAGGATAAGTTGTTTAAAACAAAGGGTATTTTTTTTATCCAGACTGATTGCTCATGTGTTCAAAAGTGATTGGAATTGTCTTATAGTAAGAGTTTTGAAAATATCCAAGGAGCAAGTGCTCAGTGCTTTTGTGCATATCCTTTCACCGCATCTAATGAAGTGATCTTTCAGCCCACAAAAGTATGTGCTATAGATAGATAGATAGATAGGTAGATGTATGCACTTTGGTTGGTTTATAAGTTGCAAATCTACTCGGCCTTTTAAGTTTGCACATCTAAGGCCCCTGGCAGATATTAATATAATGGCACAATTAGGATCTGAGGAATTTTGTGTCCCATCCCAAAAGTTGGGCATCCTGCCAGTTCAAGACCTTAGGGTTACCCACCACCTGATCGAGCAGGGAGCAGCTTCATCTTGCACCTAGCATATGTATTCATAAATACAATTTAAGGTGGGTCATATTCAATTTAAGATGCAATACAAACCAGCCACAAAGATGTTCCATGTTAAATGTTTTGCCATTTTATTGTGCTATTAATTGGTTGAACCTGTGGCATATTGCAATGCATTACCCAATTAACATGTTAATATTGCAATAAATGTAACGCCTCCCACGATCCCTAAAGTACATCCCACTTAAGCCATCTGTTCCCAAAAGAATCCTCTTGCTTCAGCTGGCATTGCTAACTTTGTTCTATTTGTGGTAAGAAACATATAGATAGATCTATCTATCTATCTAATGTTCTATTGCAAAACAGAACATTTTTTTCAGGCATGAACCTCTGTCCTATTTTGTTCCTTAAGATTGTATATATTTTAATTAAAGCTGTTTTATGAGCTTGCTATATCTGGGTCTAAAATGTTTGTTCCCTTATTGCTATTAAATGAATTGTTAAACCTTAGGAATTTAGAATTGCAGTAAGCCACATAATTTGAAATTCCCAGCAGAAAATGAACTATAGCCAACATTTAATGAGTTCACAGACTTTGAGTTCTACATACCTGGTTGTTTTCTTTTTCACAGAAACCCCTTTATGCTGCCTTGTAATATAAGGGGGCTTTACCGATTCCTTAGTAAAATGAGGATCAGACTCATTGTTTGTAAGAATATGACTTTTTATTCCAAAAAGGACAAATATGAATGCAAATATATGTTTAAAGACCAGGTTGCTCTGGTTAAAGGTGGCTTTCTGAGTGAGAGGTCATGGTATGAAATGTTCCTTGTTTACATGAAACAAAGTAAACCTGCCTGTAGATGCAGTCTTTCATATTTATGCCTGAGTCGAATTTGTTTCCAAATGTTCAGTCTGAATGGAGATTTTTTTTTTCTTTCCAGAGAAAAGTGTTGCATATTATTGACTCTTCCTAATTTAATTTCTTCACATACAGTTTAATAGCACAATATTGCAACACCCTTCACTCAAGAAACTTCTTGGGATTATTACTAAGACTATCCTTGGAATTCCATCAGAAGACCTCTGGAAACTTTAAACTATTCAAATATGCATGCTTTGTCACTGCAAGGCAGCAGTGACTTGGCTCACAAAAGCAGTGTGTTTGAATGTACTTTCTAAGGTTGAAGGTAGAAGATACTTAAAAGAATTAAGTTAACTACAACAAAAAATGATATTGTTCTTGCTGCTTGCCTTTGTACTCATTCCTCCACCTTGGAATTACTCCAAAAATCTGTAGTGTATGAATGGAATAGCAAGCATTTCAGTTCATATGCTGGTTATAGAACCTTGTTTGTATACACCATTTCCCTAACTCCTCTTGGTTTTTTGTCTTAAATGGCACTATTTTTTAATGTCATGGTTTGAAGCTTTTACCTACGGCTGATCAGTAGTTACCAAGAATCAAAAGCTGTACCAAGTGCTGCATGACTGACTGAAAAAAGGCAGGAATTTCTCAACTTTTCATTTGCTCTCCTGCTCTACAATTCATTAGCCCAGTAATTCTGTTTTTAAAAGCAAATACCAGTCTGCCATACCCCAGAGATTCTAGCAATTAGGACACAATGCTTATAGCAGTTATCTAGCACAATGCACTGTTTGCGTTGGAGGGGGAAAAAAGCTTGCAATCTTTAAAAAGAAAACAAAAAATCTAACAGGTTTTTCAAGAGCACAAGCAGATTTCTCCAAGTTGTTTTTATTAAGAGAATGTGTTTTCTCCTAATAAAAACAACTCGGAGAAAGCTGTTTCAGGGCAGGCCTGCAGAAGTCTTATAAATGAAAAGGATAACCCCCAAAGGGTCACTTTTTTTTTTCTCTATGGAGTTGTCTGACATCCTGTGCATAATCAGATGATTCTTGACAATGCTGAAGTGTCCTGAGCTCAATGTTTACAATGGTGTATTAGTGGTAAGTACAATTAATAAATAATCAAGAGTCAAATGACATATGTTAAAATGGAAAGGTCTGCATATTTGTGCACCCCTTTTTCATAGACCCAGTGATTCCTAACTAGGGTGAGGAGGCACCCTGAGGTACTGCCAGATCCTTTGATGGATGCCACAAGGTGTGAGGAGACAAGCAGATGGATGCAACAAGGTGTGAGGAGACAAGCCAGACTTAGGCTCCTTCTCTGCCTGGATGATCCCCCACCCCTACGGCCCAGACCCACATAATGGGGTAAGCACTGTAATATAAAAATTAGGTTTTGAAATTGGGTGCCACCCAATTCACAAAGAGAGATGTAGGTGTGCCTCGAGTCCAAAAAAGTTGAGAACCACTGCCACAGATAGTACTGGGAGTGCTGCAGATGCTTCCGACGGGCTGCAGGTACAAGAGAGGTTCACTGTAAGCACCTTTCATTAATTCTGCCTTGTCATTGCTGCAACTGCTGCCTCCTGCATTGGGAATGATGGCTTCTGTCATATGGACACCTCTCACCTTTTCATTTACTGCAGTGCTATCAAACAGCTGCGTATATGGCAAGGCTTCTAGTCGTACTGCCTTGGCTGGTATAACCCACAAGAGGGGGGTGACTAATTAGCTAGCTACCCTCCTTCCCATGCTCCTCCCCATCGTGAACCAAAGCTATTTTAATAGCCAACCCCCAAAGTTAATGTGAACCTGTTGGAGTTGGTTAATTTTTATTGTATGCTCCTTTTATGTCTGTTTGAAGAAATGGTGGTTCTGCCCCTCAACAGTGGTCAGTAAAGCCCAGTCTGTACCATCCGCAGGTAGTGCCACAGAGCACCAGAGCAAGATGTAACCTCTACTCTGCCTACATTTCCTCCAGACTAGAAAGAGCTGCTAGCTTAGTGCAGTATAGAGCCGAAACTCGCGTGGTTGTTCAGTGGTTAAAGCAACTCCCTCCCATTTCTCCACTTTGGAGATTCAGCAAAGTAAATATCACCCGTGCCTGCAACCGGAGCTGCTGCTTACCAACAGGAAGAGGATTGATGATCATTTGTCTGAAAATTCACTCTGGGAAGTTACATTTGCTTTCCCTATTTAGGTCATACTTGTATGTGACAGTTCAGGGCCTGATTATTGCTATGGTTAATGGGAAAGATTGGGTAAAAATGAAAAAATAATTGGGGAAGCAACTTCTTTAAAGCAAACAAGTCTGAGTTGCTTTTCTGCATCTGAGAGGAACAGAAAAGGAATAACATTTCTTGAGCTGCTTTTTTGCTTCACAATTCACCTTTAAAATATGAATGCTATGGATCAAGACAGACGAAGATAAAAGGCACGTCATGAAGAAATTGCCGTGGAATGAGAGTGCAGACTTCAAAACAATCTAGGTTTGTAGGTTTTACTTCAACAATACAGCAACAGGGCCATTGTTCAGGCTCCCAAGACATTATGCTTCATTTTCTGTGAAGGAGGTTGCTTATGATATGCATTTGCTTACTCTCGGTATTTTTCAAACTCAGGTGGTAAGAGAGATCCTTGAAGCATTTGAGCACATAATTGTAAAAATGATAACCTGAATAATACACAGCCTTAATGGGGCTCTTTGAATCAAATTTATAATCATTGCAATGCCATTAGGTGCTCAAGAAAAGAGAAGACCTCTTCAGCTCACCGTTTTTCTTCAATAATGCTCAGACGGAAGTACCAAAGAAACTGCTGTGTGGATTCAAATACAGGTGTGAAAAGGC